GCTGACGATGGCATCCTTATATGGACTCATATTTTTAGATCATGCCATGAGCAAAATGGAATAAAAAAATCTATTTTATTGCTGATGTGTAGTCTTTGTACATATCAGTCCCCATATCTGGCCATCAATTTATAGCTAGCAACTAATAAAATTAGTTATTAATTATTATTACATGGCAGTGTGACAGGAACAGATGAAAACATAAATGTATGTGAATGTGTCTAAATACATATGTGTATATACATACTATATTACTTAGATAATAATGTGGTTAAGCCCCCTGAAGGCTTCATCCTTGTAAGTTAGTATTTGGGAATCCCTGAGTTAACACTTCACTATACTGATCAAGCATGCACTGAAAAGGAGATGTGAAATGCAAACTCCTCACCACTACGGTTGGGAATGCAAACTGTTTCAAGCACTTTGGAAAACTATTCGGTGATACTTAGTAAAGATGAAGATCGTCACAGTCCATAAACCAGTAATTCAATTTATGTGTGTGACCTAAAAATGATGATACATGTCTCTACTGCCTTGTATGATGGAGACAATATCACTGTTTGTTAAAAGGGCAATGGCTGGGGCTGGAGAGATGGCTCAGCGGTTAAGAACACTGACTGTTCTTGCAGAATACCCAGGTTCAAATCCCAGCACCCACAAGGCAGCTAACAACTGTCCATAACTCCAGTTCCACGGGATCCGACAGCCTCTTCTCTCCTCCGCAGGCATTGTGTGACACGGGTGCACTTACTTACATGCAGGCATAACACTCATAGACATAAAAGAAAAATAATAAAATATAAAAGGGCAATGGCCACAGCTTGGATTTATTTGTTTATAAAATGTAACAGCAAGCAATGTTTGAAAATAAAGGTAATTTTATGTTCTATTATTAATTTAAAACCCTGTGGGTCTGGAGTGATAGATCAGCAGTTAAGAGCACTGGCTGCTCTTGCAGAGGACCCAGGATCAATTCCCAGTGCTCACATGGTGGCTAGCAACCACCCATAACTGCGGTTCCAGGGGATCCGATGCTCTCTTCCGACCTCTGCAGGTAGTGAATGACATAGGTGCACCTACCTACATGCAAGCCATACACTCATACACATAAAATAAAAAGAAATAAAATTTTTTAAAGTCTAATAATTTTAAAGGAATAAAATGTTTTACAATTACATCTAAAATAATATTTATAAAAATCAATAAAATAAAATAATAAAAAATAAATAAAAACTTTTTAAAAATTGATAAAATAAGGAATTCTTACTTTGTATACATTTGCATTATGCATGTATATGTTTAGATATATATGTGTAGAATTGTGCACATAAATAGATATGAGTGTATATGTACAGGTATAATTTTAGGAGCACATACATTTCAGAGTAAAACCAGAAGCATAAAGTTCCACCGAGTGGCGTCTTACTGTAGCTGCTTCCCCTGTCTGGTTCCGCCACGTCAGTAGTCTGTATATCACTCCGTTCCCCATCTTTTTCCCGTGGAGTGATCTGGAGGACATTACTGGTGTTTTGTGGTTGTTCTTTCATCCTGTAATGCATAATATTTTTTCAGTTACTACGGAGATTTAAATAAAGTTTAGTTCTCTCTCCTGATATCAGACTATTTTGATGAGTCTCACAGCTACGAAAATATAATTCAAATATTTAAGCATAATAATAGGCAATGCTCTAGCAATGATATAACACTGAATGACAACCCCTCAGAGAAACAGGCATGTGTTCTGTGAGAAAGTCAAGAGCAGAGGGTGATGGTGCAGGAAGTATGCTGCAAATTTTCTCATTTCCTGTTAGCTAGAACAGAGGACGCACAGTAAAAAAGGCTCCTCTTGTGGAGCAGCTAAGATGGACAAAGCCGGGCCTCACTAGTGGGAGAAGCACACACAACAGAGTTGCAAACCAGTGTCTCAGGAAAGAAGTTGTTACCGGTGCAGATGGTATGAGCCATCTGTTTACAGATTCTTACACTCTTATTCAAAGAACTGAAATATGGGTTCACATATATTTGGAAAAATAGCAAGGGCACTTTATTTAAAAGCAAAGCAATAGGCCTAGTGAGATGGCTTAGTAGGTGAAGGTGCTGGCCACCAAGTCTAATGACTTGAGTACTCTTCCTTGAGCACCAACTCCTACAACTTGTTTTCTGACCTCCATTTGAGCCAAAGCATATATGAAGGTACACGCAACACACACGCAACACACACACACACAAAATAAATAATAAATAAACAAATAATAAATGAATAAAAATAAAGGCCAGGTAAGTAAAGACCTGGTTATTGTTTGGGGCTTCCTTTTATGGGATTCAAGAGGAAGAGTGATAGTTATTACACAGTATGGGTTGGACAGGTCTCGGTTTCGACTGACAGGCTTAGACTATATACGCCCTTAATGTATGTGTCACTTCCCTCAGTGCATCTGATTTTAATCATATTCACAACCAGGTATGCATAAGCACAATATGGTAAATAGGTACGTCTCCCTAAAAGTACATCTATGGGTACAGTTTTGCCTTATTCTTCATGCATCCAAAACCAGTTCAGGATGGACTGGCCTTCCCACCCTCAGATTAGGATGTTTTAGGAAGACCTTTGAATTGAAACTGTGACTTTGATGGTCACTGAGCAGAGAAACTCACTCCACCGTTTGGAGTGGTTTGTGAATGAAGCTTGGTGGAGGCAGAGGTCTCAAGTTGACAATGGGTTGCTAAGTGCGTAGTCCAATGTGGGGACTGTGTACAACATCTCTTCAGGTAAGAGTCTCAGGCTACCAAGTGCATCATTACTAGAAAAACGGCTGTGAACATAGCACAAGTCAAGTGGAGTCTGAGGCTGTAAGCTGTTGCTTATAATTTCTTACCTCAAAATGGGCAGTGAAGAGTTGATTAGGTAGGAGGGGCAAAGCCATGCTTCTAAGCTTTCCGGTATTCGTTTTTATGTTTCTTTTTTTGTACTGCAAAAATCACTGTGTGGTTTTCAAATATGGGGGATTTTTGTTGTTGTCGTTAAACCATGCCTACCTTGTATCAGCTCTGCTTCACGGAATCAAAGTTGGGGACTAGGAAATTGGTGTCGTGGTGGCAAGTGAAGCCTATACCCTGGGAGTAGTACCCTGGGGGATAGTGTGACCATCCTGAATAATGCTGGTCTCAGTTCTGTTGTGCATTACAGTGGTGCTAGGGATGATACCGGATAACAGCTCCAACAGCAGCAGGAAAGAGAGGACGGCTTGCCAAGTACAAAGCAATGTTTATCTGGTTATGTCAGGTTATTAGGATGCTTAGCACTGTTAGCGTGCTTGAAACATCTGAATTTCATTAAAGAGGGGTTGGAGCCTTTCCTTGAGAAATAATAGAAAAGAGGAAAAACTAGAAAGAACGGAGACCTGAGGTTGGGAAATGGCAGGCCCCTGGAAAAAGAAAAACAATGTTGACCCCCATCTTTGGCAATGTGGAGGGAGAAGAGGGAATGCTTGGGAGAAATAGGCAGTGGCCACAGCTCACATGGAGCCTTACCAAGTTAACGAGCCTCGAAACTCCCCATTGCAGAATACTGCATCAGTGCCCCCCCTCCCCCGCTCCCGTGACCATGTGCAACTGTGGGGACGGTGTGCCCTCTACAGGTCAAATATGTTTGATTATGCTTTTCTTTTTATTTCAAAGCCGGTGATCTTTGGAACAGTCAAATTTACTGCCCAATTACAGCCACAATTTAAAAGGCATGGTTTGATAGTGTTAAGTAACTTAATGTCTTTGAAATTTTTTTTTGTAAATGCCCATAACAATCATTATAAAATTTAATTTAAAAATACAAATGGGGGGTGCTGGAGAAATGGCTCAGCGGTTAAGAACACTGACTGTTCTTGCAGAAGACCCGGGATCGAATCCCCTCAGCTACATGGCAGCTAACAACTGTCCATAGCTCCAGTCCCCTGTAATACACGCATACACATGAAATTAAAATAATAAATAAAATATTTTAATAAATAAAAAATAAAAATGGTATTTATATAGATTGTCTGCAAAGTAAAAACTTAAAATTCCTTTGCTCAAGCCCAAACCACAGGAAAAATAAAGCGAGCACAGAAAGTTCTCTGTCAATAAGAAAAGTCTGACCTCTTGACCACATACAACCTGTTGGGCTTTTACATTTCTCATCACTATACCCTCTGAGGCAACATAACTATTTTTAGCAGCAGACAGTGTTGCAATGTACCCTGCCATAGGGCATTGGAGGCCACTGACTAGGTGAGCAAAACCCCATGTTCTCCTAGGAAGTTGCTTTCCCATGGATAAACTGACTCTTCAAGTTTGAAACACCATTTTTAGTACATAATGTACTAAACACATTTATGCTTTGATTAGCTTTGTGAAGGCATTGAGAATTTGTGTTTCCCAATTCCTATCATTAATCACATTTAACTTAAACACAAACACTTCACTTATGTGCATAAAGTGTTGGGAGTGCATCTTCTGTTTTTTGTTTTGCTTTTGTTTTGGTGGGGAAGTGGACAGAAATCACAAGAAAAGTAAGGAAGAATGTTGTTCAAGCATTTCAGCACATAAAGAATTGTGTTTGCAACTGTGAAAATCTTACATGTAATAGGATGCTTTAGCATTGCCTCTGAGTTTGAGAAGTTAACAAACTATATCTAATACAAGAATAATTAGAAAATGTATATTCCATAAATATTGTATGCTTTTCCTTCTGATTGTTATTTTAAATAGTTCTATCAGCCACCAGGTTCTCAGACTGTTTCCAAGTTCTGTGTTTCTTTTGGTGATGGCTTCATCTCCCCCTATTGTCCAAACAGATAAAATCAAACACTCTAGAACCTGAGAGGCACTCTGATCCTGTTATCTGTAAGCTGACCTGAGGCAGACAGACAGTGTCTGCAGTTTTATGCATGCCGTTCTATCTGTGCTGAAACAAGGAAAGCCTTTGCTTTTCAGCGGCTGCCTTGAAGAAGTACACAGACACCACCATGGCCTCTAAAGGTAAGAGCAAAAATAGCCAACCATTAATTTCCCCTCATGTACAGCATAACTTAAAATGTATCGCTGTTGAGGTATTGCAATCAGTCAGGCTGGTACTTTAAAAGCTGTTATTCATTGCTTTTGAATTTTAGAATTTAATTAATTTACCTCAGGGGGTACATTGCCCTAACTTAAAACACACACACACACACACACACACACACACGCACGCACGCACGCACACTACATTTTAAGCCAGTAGAATGTAAAAAGCTCAGATATAAAATACGTCTTCATCACTATAGATTTAAACATGAGAAAAGCTGAAATGCAAAGTTGAGAGGGGCCGTTTAATGTAAACACGGGGATGGATGAAATTCCAAGTTTAAATGCATCTGAAGAAAAATTTTCACACACGCATTAAAAAATGTGATTTGAACATTTTTACCCTCTTATTTGTTGTTCAGGATCACGAGTCACACAGCCATAGGCAGAACAGGACTTGCTGACATTGCAGCCAAAGCTTGATGTAGCAGAAGTAAATATGCTGATGTATAAAGTTAAGGGCATTCAAAAATTTTGGTAATACACAAAGTAAACATAAGAAATCAAACGAAAATATACAATTTAAACAGAGCTCGATTAGGGTCTTTGTTGGGGGAAAGAGTGCTGGGAAGGTTTTTCTCAGATTCCTGCAAAATTATTAAAATATCATTATTGCTATTTTAACTTAAGAAAACTCTTAAAAGACAAGAGATGTGGTTTTGTCAGGGTAATAAGTTGTACTCTCAATAAAAGTATTTCTAAAAACAAAATCATAATGTACTTTCTATTCAACTTTCAGCACAAACCATTAAACTCCATACTACAATGAAAAGTTTTAGCATGCAGGATTCTGATTTGTGTAATTGAGGGAAACTTTTATAGTCCATTACAAATAAGATGAGCACACAAATGTTTCGTATCCCAAATTAAATAAACGACCAACTCAAAGAAATATATATTTTTTCTTTGTTTCATAAAACACATTTCAGACATCTAGACTCGTGAGTTTTAATATGTCTGCAACATCTTTTGTATTTGAAAACAAAGGATCAAAACCCTTAATGTATTTCTCTAAGACTGACATGAACCCAGACTCCAAAATGGCTCTTGTTTTAGCAAACTAAGAGCAGCCACAGAGTGGCCTGGAAGAAGAGTTGAAGAGTGTGTAAAATATTTATGAGTTAGTTATACATTTTTAAAAGAGTAGATAGAAATTCAAAGGAGCTCCTTATTCATCTGGTGGTCTGAGACTTTGAAGAAACTGTGACTAGAAAGTAGTATTATGATCAAAACATGACTAATCTGCCGAAAAAGCAGTGGTGTTCAGTAATGAAAAAGACTTACGACTAAGCTCAGAGACAAACTTGAGGACGAAATCTAACACCCCTGTGACCTGCTCACCACACTCAAGTGAAACATGGTACACGGTACAGTGGCCAGGAAGTTATTGCTCTGACCCACACAACTATATTTTCAGTTAACATCTCCTCAGAGACTCCAGGTTATTTGGACATTCGTAGACAGGTATAGAACAGCCTGACCTGGATACCTTTAGAGAAGTCTATGTCACCTGGACCCTCTTCACATAGTAATAATAAATACTCTTAAAAACACACTGATCTCAAACTAAGTCTGATAGAGGCAGGAATTCTCAGGACAATAGAAACTGTAGAGACAGTGTCTCTGGGTGTTCAAGTGACCTCTGAGACCCTAGAAAGAAACAAGCGACCACAGAGAAAGAGTACAGGATCCGTAGGACCTGCTATTAGGTCAGGAGCTAGTGGCCCAGTCTGGGATCTGCAGACCCTTTGTAGACACAACCTACTGAAGTGTGTAGAGAACATAGTTGACAGAATAAACGTGGGGTGATTTGCCAATCTTTGAGGCAAGAGAAATAACAAGAGATAATCTAAGAATCTTCTGTCAGGTATTGTTGGAAACTAACCCTATATATTTTCACTGTGTGATCGTGCATGTTCTATAAAGTACAAAAAACACACCAAACTTAAGTTTCATGATTTCTGAAATAAGGATTCACTCATGAAATCACCAACAAGACCAAGACATGGAACATTTCCGACAGCCAATAACATTTTCTAAATAATAATTGTGTCTCTCCATTTTCCAAGTTCTAAATTTTATCATTGTGAACTAGATTTTTCTAGATCATTTTACCTCTACTTTTTTTCTCCGGCAATGAGATGATAGCTGTGTGGGGTACTAATGTTGAGAAAACCGTTTCTTACCTTTTAACTCTTTTCAAGCTTTTGCTATAGTGATCATTAATTCCCCTCTGATTGTAACATACTTTTACATAGTCTTCCCATGGGGTTTCCCCTTGTAATCCCATTCTAGGGTCTCTTCCTGGAAACAGAAGCCTTATAAACCCCTTCCTTGGTGCCTGCTCCAGAGCTGAAAGGGGTTCTCCAGGATCCTTGTGGGAAGCAAGTTGCTACAGCCTTATCACAGCAGAACTGCTTCAGGGGGCCAAAGGACAAGTTTTTTCATTTATTCTTAATCATAAAGAATGTTCTATATAAATCTTAAATGTCACAGATTAATGCAAATTTAGCAAGCCTACATCAATATTAATATAAACCCAGTCTGTTCCTACAACCTTAAGGGTAAATAAGTAAGTGAATCATCTGGCAGTTGCCCCTCATTAACACTTCCCGGATATGTAAGCCTAAAATAAGCTCATCATGACTAGAATCAATTTATGCCTTTGTCCAAAGGGCCGTTCCTTGTCTGTCTGTGTGCCTTCATCTGTTTTTTAATCCCTTTCCAGGAGCTCATTCAGGCTCTAGTTTTCTTAATGATGGAGAATTTATTATCTTAAAAAGAAACCCAGTGCAATTGAAAACTATATTTGAGACTTAAAGATACAAAAAAAAGTAATAACACACCTCTAATGTACCCAGACCTTCACAGATCTCAGCATCAGACACTGTAATCGACTGTTAACTATGTGCACAGCACTCCAATTTCATATATGCTTAACGAGAGTACTTATTCAAAGCTTTTACAACTGTACAAATGTGTCAATCTGAACCAGGTTTTCTTTTTTCTTTCATTCATCTACATCCCCAATAACATTTCAGTCTATGGTGGACCCCAGACCGTGGGTCTGTAAAATGATACTGCCTAGTAAGCACACTTCATGACATTCACACAACTGTGGAACCACCTCATGACACATTCCCAGAGAAGATTCATGTTATTAAGAGATGCAATGCTTTACTGTTCTTGTTTTCATAATGACCACTATCATATTTGAAAGTACCTGGTCATACACACTTTGTTGCACACCAGCATCCAAGCTAAAGTACTTCAATATTGATTAATTAAATATGCTTATATTTTTAAAAATCCTGATACCTTATGATGGTAAGAAGCAAAAACACTGAGAGTCTATGAAAAGTTGGTATCTGATGAGGGAGATAACTCAGTAGTATTTATGAGCAGAAAATAGGAAACTAATTGTAGAAAAGCTGTCATGTATATTTTTATATTAAAAGATTCTCATGTATCACTTCTCAGGGCTTATCCATAACATTACACAGACTAATGTATAGTAAGAAGGAAGCGTATAAATTCCAATCTGAGAGATAACTAAAATAGTAACATGTTCACTTGGCAGTAATATTGACAGCAGGTAACCTCTCTAAAACAGCAAAGTGACTTTATATAATTCTGTAATTGTGCTATTTTTCATAACACCATGCCTGCTACAAAGAGGTCCATACTATCACAAAGTTACTGAAGTTTTAAATTGAATACATGGAAATTAAACCTAGCTTTGATATTATACTGTCCTTAAGCTCACACATGTTATGAGTCTACTCAAGTTTATGGAGTTTAAGAAATAGTTGTCATTGTACATCCTATACAAGCAGGACCGTTAGCTTCATCTAGAACCTTACCAAAATGCACCTTTTCAAGCCTCTCAGCCCAGTCTCTAAACAGAACTGGAAGAAGGCCTGTTTCAACAAATCTTCCAGGTGGTAATGACAAAGGCTAAAGAGTCATTGAATTAAACTGGACCATAACAATATGACTAACACAATTAGGTAAAACAGCTTCATAAATCACAAGCTAGCTCCATAATACTTAGAGAGGGGAAAATATGGCTTAAAAGTCCAAAGTGCAACCCAGTGTAAGCCTGAGCTTTTATGAGTGCAGGCTCTCCTAGTGTCTTTGGTTTGTGATTCTTCATCTCTTTGAAGAGATATCACTTGCATATACATGCAAATATATCGACATCAGCAAATATATGAATTTGCTATATTTGATTAGGTCAGTTATTTAACTCCTACCAGCATTTTTCCTTTTTTAATATTTTATTAATTTGTTTTACGTGTGAGTGTATTGCCTGCATGCATGTAAGTGGACCCATGTTGTGCAATGCCTGAGGACGACGGCATGGAATCCCCTGGAAGAGGAGCTACAGATGGTTGTTAGCTCTCCTGTGGGTGCTAGGAACGGAACCCAGGTCCTCTGCAAGAGCAGCCCGTGCTCTTAACCAACGGCTGAGCCTCTCTCCTGTTCCCCAGCATTTTTCTTTCCTTTCTCTCTGGCTTGAGTCAAGTGACAGCAGAAATGAATAACAAAAATAAAGCAAAGAACATGCAAATGAGAGACAGCAGGTGACGAGCTGCCATCTAAATCAAAGAATTTTTAAAAACCAAGGAGTAAGTAAAGGGGACCTAAACTGTAATATACAGCAACATTTCCATTCTCTTGCAGATGTACAGAGCCAACTGCCAAGAGACAGGCCTCCAATTCTTCCTGGGGCTTCGGACCCGGATCAAAGCTCTCACATGTCTTCTTCTCATCTCTGGAACCAAACAGGGCAGCTGGGGGTCCCTCTGCCAGGCAGCTTCCTGCCAACAACCAGCCTTCCTCCCGGTCTAGAAAATTTGAGCCAGGTACGCACACCGGTCCCTTTCCTGATGTGTTCCCTCTAAAACCAGTTCAAAGTTGGTTTCTTGCTTTTCGACCAATGATTTAATGAACTGTGAAAGGCATTATAAATCATGAAGTATCGTTATAAAGTATCATTTTCTTTGTTTTTGCTATTTAGAAAGAAGCTTATTTCACCTTGCTGCCTGTCCTTATTTACCTGACAGAGTGATGCAACTAAACAGTTTTGACAGAGCCATTTAGCACATTTACAGGTCTTCTGTTCATTGTTCAAGGTGTTGAGGTACTTATATCCAAGGGATTACCAAACAAATACACCTACAGCTATTGAATTAAAAATATGTGTTGAGGGGGCTGGAGAGCTAGCTCAGCATTTAAGAGCACTGACTGCTGTTGCAGAGGACCCCAGTTCGATTCCCAGCACTCACATGGCGGCTATGAACCGTCCTTAACTCCAGTTCCAGGGGAATCCGAAGCCCTCTTCTGACCTCCGCGGCATTGCACGACACAGGTGCGCTCACACACGTGCACGCAATACACTCGTACACATAAATGAAAATAACAAAAATAAAATAAAAACATATGTTGAGCAGTTGTTATATTCAAAGCAGGTGAGAAGCACAAAGCCTAGCCCCTGTCACTCAAACACGGTGTCATTGCGTTCAATGGCCAAACCAAACCTTTCTAAACAGTGCAAAGCCATGTAAAAAAGCCAGAAAACATACAGCTGTAACATGTGAAAAGGTGAGAGGGTGGTCATAGATACTCTGTAAGGGCTTGAAAAATCTCTACCAGATTCTTAAAGGGAACATGAAAGTCCAAGAAAAAGCAGGTTATCCAGTCCACATTACAGTCTACTGGTGTTCAAGATCTCCAGGCCCAAAGGTATCACTACTGGTATCGGTCTAACCATTGCAGGGTGAGCAGCAAGTCAAGCCTTGCAATAACTTTGTCAGCTAACGAAGATCAGCATCTGAGTCACATGGCAAATAAACAGCAATTGTTGCTCATATATGGACATATTATTGTTGTAGCATCTTATCCTACAAAAGATTACAAAGCCAACTACACTAACATTGAGATGTCAGCACATCTGCTGAGCGCCCGCTTCTTTGGCATTCCTTCAAACAATAAAATCTAGCTCCTTTATCAAAATCAAATCTCTGTGTTAATTCCCTTAAGGTATGAGAAATTTCTGTTATGCCTGATAGGCTTTAAGCTCAAGCAGCATATGTTCTTGGGAAAATGTTTATAATTGCAGATGCCTTCTCCAGAAACCCACTGGCAGACAAATGTACTTTAGACACTGGAGAGCTCAGGGAGATATGTTAAAGAGCTGGGAGAGCTAACCCACCATCTTCCATCTGCAAAACGGATCAGCTGGAATAGCTGACTAGAGTTGATTAACTGCTGCAAGCTGTTTGGGAATGTCGTCAGACAAGGTTTTGCCAAATATAAAAGTGATATACCAGTGCCAGAGGGCTGGAGTTTGATGATCACATATGGTCACCACGTATTCTTTTTCCACCCATGAGTGACGACACAGCCGGCCAGATGCTTGACGTGAATACATGTTTTAACATTCAATAAATAGACCAAGAACGCATGGACTTCACTTTAAGATGCAATATAAAAACCATACCTTTGCCAATATTTTCAGAAAACAAAATATACCATAAGTTGTTAATATTTTACTTCTAAAGGGAATTGCTTATTCCTTTTTTACTAAAAGAATATGGGTTTGCTTTAAACCATGTACATATAAAAAAATGACCATTTCAAAAGAATTTTACCTTCCAGACACACTGTTAAATGACTTTTAAGTGTTAACTTTGAACTGAAAGACATAAGAATTAAATGAAATTATGCATATTTGGAAACAGAGTATAATTCAAGAAATAAACCAGAAAATATAAGAAAAATCTTCCTGTATTAAAAATTAGATGGTTATTTAAACTCTTACTGTGTTCTCTATACATCAAGTCTATCCACTAGCTCTCAAGAATATTGTTTCCATAAACAATTTGAGAATAAGCGCATACATAATGTACATTTAAACCTAAGAAGGAATGAATACACCGATTGTAAATTAGATTTACATATTCACAAGAGTGAATAATATTTAATCCTGATGCATTAGAGGATTAGAATTTGGCCACTTATAAGTAAGAGGTGAGTGGGCCTGAAAACATTCCATTTATTTTTAAATAGATGCAATGAAATCAATGACATTTATAAGCCTGATTTTTTTTAATTGACTTTGAAGCTGTCTGTTCAAAGCTGTCATTGTGTTTTCATGGCTTCAGTGTTTAAGAAATATTTTACTTTTCTTGACGTTTCAACGTGCACTATTTAAAGTTTCTCTCTTTAAAGTTCCTACCAACTCCTAGTTCATCAACCAACAGAAAATGATGGAAGAGGTCCACTCAAGCCACAATTTATTTGTAGCTTAGGGCTACTTAAAGCCACCTATAGCAATAACCAAGATCAACATTCTCAAATCCAAGAGGCTTGTGCACAGAGAGTACAGTTTTGTTACACAGAAGTACGAGACTGAAGAGAGCAGTGGGCAGAGATGTTCGAGAGTCACGGGATCACTTATGATGGCTTCTCTTTTGTCTAGTTACGTTAGCCATGTAATAAAGTGACACAAAGCATGTCAGGGCTGACGGCCAAACACAGGCTGTGTGACCTAAGGCAAATTCCGGGCAGAGATGTTCGCGAGTCACGGGATCACTTATGATGGCTTCTCTTGTGTCTAGTTACGTTAGCCATGTAATAAAGTGACACAAGGCATGTCAGGGCTGACGGCCAAACACAGGCTGTGTGACCTAAGGCAAATTCTTTAATGTGTCCGGATACCCATCTCTCCGAGGTGTTTGCTCAGCATTCCAGGAGTGGCTGCCTCCTGGATATCATTCAGTTGAAAACTGCTATTGTTCGATACAACTTCCCTTTTCATTATGGAGTAGATCTCAACTGAGAGTTTCAAAACTTTAAACCTAACACCATAACACCAATATTTGAAATTCCTAAACTCAAGCACCTTAACCCTGACCTCACAGCCCTCCATCTCTTAACTTGCCTCTCTTCAGGCCCACCGCTAAATAACCACATGTACTCTCTCAGAAGTTTCTACTCTTCTTCCCCAAAGTCTCCATTTTCTTCAAAAGACAACAGAGCTAATGTAATCCACTGCAAAGGACTTATTCCATTTTAAAATGTTTTGTCATGATTGTTGAAATGATTTTAGAATCTCTAGTAATAAATGATTTTTGGAAAAAATATTTTGTGTACTCTTTTCAATGATTAGAGAAAAAGTAAGAGAAAAAGATGCTTTTCCTCACAGCCAGGTGTACAAGAGGAATGAAAGGGCAGCTGTAAATATTCTGGATTTGTGGTCTCCAATCTATGCCAAATCGTGCTACTAATTGCCTTGGCTTAACAATCCCTGAGGAGTTTACGTATGTGAAGGGAGAATATGGTGAAGATACCTTCAAGACATAATTTTAAAATGAAGCACTAGAAACACAGTGATCAGGGCTGGACAGATGCCTTTTGCAGAAGGCCAGAGTTGGATTCCCAGCAACCATATTGGGCAACCCACAGCTGTCTGTGACTCCAGTCCAGGAGTCAAACCTCTGGGCTCCTCAACCACCTACACTCATACACAGAACCACACACACGTATATAATTTAAAAAATATATAAAGATCTTTTTAAAAAGTATAAGAAATGCAGTGATCCAAGGCTGGAGAGATGGCTCAGTGGTTAAGAGCACCGTCTGCACTTGCAGAGGACGCAGGTTCGATTCCCAGCACCCACATGGTGGCTAACAACTGTCTGTAACTCCAGTTCCAGAGGAATCCCACATCCTCTTCCGACCTCTGGAGCATTGTACAACATGGGTGCACTTACATACATACAGCAATATACTCATACACATAAAGTAAAAATGATAAATAAAATATTTTTTTAAAAAAGAAAGGCAGCGATCATCCATGTAGTCACGGCTCATGATTTTTGCATTAGAAGCTCTATGGATACTGCACAAATGAGGTCGCTCTAAAACGAGTACTTCATATTTCCTTTGAAAAAAGCAATTTGTGGGGCTGGAGAGATGGCTCAGAGGTTAAGAACACTGATTGTTCCTGCAGAAGACCCAGGTTCAAATCCCAGTACCCACATGGCAGCTAACAACTGTCTGTAACTCCAGTCCAGGGGATCTGACAGCCTCTTCTGTCCTCCAAGGGCATTGCACGACACGGGTGCACTTACCTACATGCAGGCAATACACGCATACACATAAAGTAAAAATAGTAAATTTTTAAAAGAAGCAGTTTGTGAGCTGGTGTCCTCTAACCACCATGTGTACACATACCATATATATGTATATATAAAAATGCCCACAATAATAATGAATAAATAAAAGTACAAGAAGAAATTTGTGTTACATGCTATAAATATGGTCATTTCCCAGCTCTGTAGACACTTTATCTCTGTAAATTAATTTCATTTCTAATTGCAGGAGATGAACGCTATGGCAGATATTTGGTAGCAAACCTCACATTCTTCTTCAATTCATTCTGTTGGCATCTAATGGCTTTATGCTTTTCCTGACCCTAAGGAAAGTGTGAATGTGAACTGTTTCTCAAACAGCCTCTTTCAGCTTAAGCAGACATTTCCCCTCTGAGAAGAATGAGGTATCGTGGGGATCAGACAGGGACTGACAGAGGCTGAACACGCTGGACCTCACTGTGTGGCTTCATCTCCTCAGATGGAATTTTAGAGAGTTCTAAAACATCTTCATTATCATTCAGAGGTTATTTTAAAAATCTCCTCGAACTGTTGTTTGCAGTATCATCTCCTTTTTTCTCTCATTAGCATAGACGGACTTAGCACAAACATCGTTCCTATTCTTACTCTTAGCAATCCTGCCTTGCAATTTTAAGCTGTCTGTGAATTTTTACCAGAGTTCTCATTAGCATAGACGGACTTAGCATAAACATCGTTCCTATTCTTACGCTTAGCAATCCTGCCTTGCAATTTTAAGCTGTCTGTGAATTTTTACCAGAGCAATAACATTTCATTCTCTTTGCCTTATTAAATTGTAACTGTTCAGAACTTCTCAATGAAAACGGTCTGATTTCACGTTGCATAGTAAGGAGATGAAAACGAACATCCCCAAGACCTTCCAAGTGCAGTGATAGAATGGTTTCATTTCCTGCCTATCGTCCTTTGCAGTTGGACCTGATCATCATACACCAGCAGGTGGAGCTTCTTGGGAGTAAGTACATCAGGCTCTGCTGAAAAGCTTTCATGTTTACAAGCTTCTTTCCATCTAAATATGTTAGAAGGAGTCAAACACATAGAATTAGATCAAAAGATCACTTGACCTATTTTTTAAATGAAAATTAAATTTATTAGTTAAGTTAGCTAAAACTACAAGTATGAAACTCTTTAAGTCTTTGGTGACAACACCATCCAAATTCTAACAAATGTAATCTTAAAATGATAAGCAGTAATTAACATTCCATGGATCCTAATCATTTAAATTTCTAATGCTCTGAGAAGAGGAAATCAAGGTTGAGAGCAGATTTTAAAAGTTATCAAAACTAATGCTGCTGCTTTTTTGCTTTGCCAACGACTCAACAAAATAGACATATCGTTTAGCAATAGACAAATTTGCAAGGATGATTAATTTCAAATGACTCAAGTGTTTTCTTCTTATAATAGTCTACATTACTCCAGAACATGTCAGACTTGAAGAAGGTTGATAGCACAACAGCTGTGGATGTTAAAAGAGATTTTAGACACAGTCATAGACATCATTGTAAATTGTCCTAATAACTAACACGGCAAGAATAGGATTATTATTTGAGTAATAAATTCTTCCTTACAGAATTGTTTTCCTTAGTTGAACCATAGTACAACATATTTGGGTCATAGTTCTGAAATAAAAATGAATGCAGTTGTTACCTTTGTTCGCAGAGTTCACTTTGATTTCTCTGGCTAAGTCTTCAAGATTTAGGACCTCGAAACAGACTTGTGTGAAAATGAGACTTTCAGTATAGTAACTCTGCAGTGACTCTATTTTCTGTTAATAGTACTCTCTCTTACTTTGGAAAACTCTTGATACCAATCAATGCATTTCTTTATAAGATGTGTTTTCTGTTAGTGATACTTGGCACCGAGACCTCCAACAAATATGAGATCAAAAACAGCTTGGGACAAAGAATTTACTTTGCAGTGGAAGAAAGCATCTGTTTCAATCGCAGTGTTTGCTCCACCCTGCGAGCCTGCACCCTGAACATCACAGATAACTCAGGTCGGGAGGTGATTACAGTACACAGGCCCCTGAGATGTAACACCTGCTGGTGTCCTTGCTACCTACAAGAGGTTGGTCACTGTCTCTGAGTGCTCTTTTTTTAAGATTAGCAATCATTTCTGTAAATGGCATTCATCTGGAGCTCTGGGTCAATCACCCTCACAATTGCTTGAATTTATACGTTCCCTCTTAGGATGAGGAAAACATGAGGATTGGGTAAGGCACTAATTTTTGTCCATTTTCAAACAAAAACTATGGTGGCTACCATTAGGTTAATTCATGAAAACAGCTCATGAGTCCTATAAATGAGACATATCCACCTGTGTATCAGGCACATGATTGTAATGTCTGCAAGTTCCACCTCTGCACAATATACCCATCATCCCTAACAGTGGCAACACCCAGGAGATAAGTGCAATGGCACCTGCCTCCTCTCAGGTGTTCTCTCTCTCGGGTATTATTTTGCAGTCTCTCACTTTGCTTTGCATTTGTACGTGTATAACTAACTCTATGGTTTGCAACACAATGTCACTACTGGATCATTAGTTGTAATTACTGTTCAGTAGGTCTGTAATAATAATTTTCATTGACATAATACAGCTCAATTGACACAGACATTTTCTGACTTCAATATGACATCTCTGTGAGCTAGACCAATAGTTTTATTCTCCACATTCTACTGTCAAGCAAATGGCTCAGAGAGAGAATAGACTTGTCCATAACCAAGCACTCAATAAACATAACTGGACTTGTTCCATGTCCCTATTAAAACCTGAACTTCTCTTTTCAACACCTCTATGTACAGTCCTTAGGACAATGGGGACAAACATGAGTGTAGAAGGTGGTTATTTAGGGAAGTTTCTAATAACATCTCTTGAAGCTGATTCCCCGTGGGAAAGAACGCTCAAGTATTCTTGTATGCAACCTGGATTTCCACCCTCCTTGAGGAAATTTAAGATTGAGAGACACCCCTAAGATGATATAGTCACTTAAAAATCAATGTGTGTCATTTGAAAATATCTAATAATTGATATTTCACATCATAGTAGCCTAGTGTCCTGTGATTTTAACATAAGATTTATTTGATGCCCACAAACATTTTTTAAAATTTGGTTAAAATAAAATAAGTAATTGAAAGTGATTTCTGAACAAATATACCAAACTCTAGGCCACCTGATTAAAGCTGTTCCAGTCTACCCAAGAGTACGGAAGACATACACAAGATGATGAATTCAGGAAGAGAAATTGGAATAAGATGAGTGGGTGAGATCTGGTTCAGTTTAAAAGAAACAGTTCTTATTTGCCCCCACCCAAATTATTTTTAAAATGATTTTACTTGCCTTACCTACATTTGTAGGTGAAAAGGGATCAAATAAAATAATGCCTAAATGACTAATGTCAGCATTCAACAACTGGTAAAGAAGTCTTCAAATAGATGTGCGTTGTGGCTACAACTGAGTAGCTGTAGGTTCAAGCATGGTAAAAAGCTATTCTGTACAAGCTATTATAGAAAGATGAAATGGCAAAGCAGTGGGTGTCCATGGCCAGAGGTGGGTGCGGGCAGCTGTGTCGTGGAAACCACGCCCAGACGTTCAATGTGAAGTACTAAAGATACTTGAGTAAAGAATCCTCTTCATTTCTTTAACAAAGACACTATGAAATGTCCAAGAAACACACCGCTTTGCATTTTAGAAATAGATGTCTAAAATGGCTTTTAGAATGCAAAAATAATTTCATAACAAGTATTGTACAAATGTAAATTGACATTATAATGTGATTAAAACAATAACCTTAGAAAATCTTTTATTGTTATTTCTTCCTACAGTTAGAAATCCAAGCCCCTCCTGGTACTATAGTTGGTTATGTTGCACAGAAGTGGGACCCCTTCCAACCTAAATTCACAATCCAAAATGCAAACAAAGAAGATATTTTGAAAATTGTTGGTCCTTGTGCAACCTGTGGCTGTTTTGGCGATGTGGATTTTGAGGTATGAATGGCAAAATGAAGAAAGTTTTCTTAGGCCCTGATTTTTTGCAACATAATTCAATTTTTAAGACATTCAAAACATGAAATATCCCCAAAATAAAATTTGAGAATTTCATATTATAATTGTTCTAATAAAGTATATTTTCATGGCAGCAATAATAATCATTATTTCAAAGATGCTAAGTCTAAAAGTTTTAGAAAAAAATTATACTATGAAAACATGCTCTCCTTGACCATCTTATCTGTCATAGACCACTGCAGATATTATTCAAAGAAACTTTAACAAATTAAAAATGATAATCATAAAATAAAAATTTCCCTCCATCATATCTGCTAAATATAGTAGATAAAACTACCATATCTGATTACTTAAAATAGCAGGTATCTTATTTTCAGTCTAAGGCTTTGAACATCAAACATTTTTGCATATATGGTTTTGTCATTTTTAGATAACCAATATGTTGTGATTGCCAAAAATCATGGCACATCCTGTGTTTGGCAGGTTGAGTCACAGGGAATTAAAAGTGCATGTGGGATAAAGTAAATATGTGTATTTCAGATCACCTAAAGTTGTGTCTCCTTTCCTGTAGGGCTCCTTGGTGGCCATTTAACCCAGTTCAGGTCTCATTTCAAAACAACTTTCCACTAGATACTAGAGCATCATTACATACAGCTATCTTTCTAAGACTTGCTGGGTTTTTTATAGTATAATGTACTCTCAGCTTTCCAGAACTAAACCAAAATAGTGAAGTGTTAAAACAGGCAATTGTAAACTCAACCTGGGACAGCATGAACTCACTTAACAGATTATCCTAAACGTTTCACAGGCAGAAGAGAAAGTCTAATTTAGAGCATGTGCCTATTTTTCACCATTCATGTGTATCCCCCATGTCTGTTTTAAAGACTTGAGGGAGGTCTGTACACATAGAATATGCAGACTTTGCTGAGTGATGTGTCCTCCATCCAACACTGCAAGATGACATGTATCTTTTTAAAGAATGATACAATTAAAGAGACTTATAAGAGCCTTAGTATCCAAGATACAGTAATGTTCTAAGTCATATTTTATATGTCTATCAAGGAGAAAATGAAGTTTCATATTAAATAACTCTCAGCATGAAAATGATGACCAGGAGAAAGAAAAACAGTTGATGAAGTTGAATTGTAGATCCCTCCTTGAAAAGGCCTGGAGACTTCAATGTCAAATTCATCTCAATTTCCTGCATTGTGCATTAGTTCAAAGTTCTTTATGTTAAAATAATACTTACGAGTGGTTAGAAAGACATGTCTGAGTGTAATGTAAAAACATAAATGTATCGTAATATTTTAAAATTTTGATACATAATCTTAAAAAGTTTAAAGCATATGAATCTCACCAATAAATTCATTCCTTTTAATATTTCTCAAAAGCATATGCACATATATTATACATAATGCCAATACACACATTTTATAGTGACAAATCTAGATTTAAAATTTGGATACAGGTAAAGGAATTTCCTTCACGGTTAGATCACATCGCTGAGCTCTGTGTACCTGCTGCCGCCTTGTGGTGGCCTGGCCTTAATAATTTACATAGGAAAAAAAAAAAGACAAGCTAGAAGCTGTTACAAGTTACTGAGCCCTGTAAAGGTAAATGTCCACACCTGTGCAACAAGCAACGAGCTTGACACAAGAAGATAATGATAACACATGTTCACCGTAAAGGAAACATACTGAGAAATGTCAAGAGAAATGTCTTATCTACAAATTTAATGCCTCTTATTTTTATTTTTAAAGGTGAAAACTGTTCATGAAAAGCTTACAGTTGGGAAGATCTCCAAGTACTGGTCTGGATTTGTTAATGATGTGTTCACAAACGCCAACAACTTTGGAATCCATGTCCCTGCAGATCTCGATGTGACACTAAAAGCAGCGCTGATTGGTGCTTGCTTTCTCTTCGTAAGTGTGGTCTGGGTGGCGTGAACGAGTTTTAGCCTCGCTTGACAGACTATAGCGTCAATCCCCTTCCACACACACTGGACCTGCAGCAGATAATATGTATACTGAAGGCAGTTTGGGAAAGGATCAAATCCTTTGGAAATCAGAATTTGGAAGCTTACTGTCCTCTCAGGCGGCCCCTCTGTAGTGGCTTCATACCTTGCAGGGCCAATACCCATAACAGCCTTCTTACCATTTTCTCAAAAACTGAATTTTCTTTCCCTTTCGATGTGAGTTTAGTTTTTGCTTGTTTGTATCCCATTTTTGGTCATTCTGCATGTCAGTATCAACCATTCCAAAGACACACATACACACACATGCCACACATACAGAAACACATGCACATACATAGAGAAACATATGCACACACAGAAATGAACACTCGTACAGATGTTCACACACTCACACACCCTTTCTCTTAGATATTCACTCAATCCTTCTAATCAAGCGACACACTTAATTTCATTTTAAAAGCAGTTCGTCTGTAATCTCTATTAACCTACTTTACTTAGATAGGCTGTTGACAAAAATATACTGTGAAAAATAAAGCTGTATTTTCTGTATCTTAAACATTATTGATTTCTCTTTTCCTAGTTTCCACGAGCCTTCTAAATACTTGTGCTTCCACAAATGTGTTTTCCCATTCTTGGTTCACATTCTTTGAGAGATCAATATGATGTAGGAAAGCTACATAGTTTCTAGTCAGATGTGGAGCAAAGTACAGTCCCTGCATGACCTGGAAGTCTGTTCAAAGTGCAGGAATCAGCTCCCACCCTGGACACATCAAGGTCAGCATTTGAATATGATGTCCAAGGACTCCTTCGTGCTCTACAAACTTAAAAATCACTGATTTAGATAATGTCCCAATTTCAAGAAAGGATAACTTTTAAATTCTAGCATCCAAGAGAGAAACATATTCACAGCAAGGCAAGCAGCACTTGCCCCCCTTCTTGCTAAATCACGCATCTTCGGCCAATATATTTTGAAACAACTTCTCAAATGTATTTCCAAGGTAAATTACAAACATTTCAAATACCATCTCTATTATAACCTCTCACACTGACCTCTAGTGTCTGCAATTGAATTCTGCAATCTTGAACACTCCAATTTTAAATAATGATACTGTGTTTATTTAAATAAGAATTTAAATTGTTACAATCGGAAAGTTCAACTTATGAGCTTCATGAACCTTAGAATGTTGTGATTTTTTTCTACCAATAAATCATGTGTTACAGAAACACCACTGGGAACTATCACCGTTTCACATAATCAAAGCTGGCGTATCGGGCTCTTGATCTTAATTGCTGCCCTTTTTTGCAAATTCACTCATATTCAGTTTATTTATTTGTAGGATTTCATGTTCTTTGAACATTCACTAGCTGGATTATAACAAGTGGTGTGATGAAAACAAAATACGCAGAACATATTTCAGTAAGTAAAAGGCAAGTTTAAATGATCGCTTTCCTTTGAAGATGCCAATATTTGACACTATCTAATTCTTTTTCATTTTCTTTTAGATATCCCTTGGGCCCTGAATTTCATTTCTGAATGGTTTGAGTATTTGATTTTTATAACAAAATGTTAATTGTGATAGTTATTAAAACATAGTTTAATGAGACAATTACCTCATTGTGAATGCATGCCAGCTTGTAATTACTGGCTTGAGTACAAGGTTACTTTGAGAGATTACTGTTCTCTTTTTATCCTTTTGAAGTTACTGCAATGGTGAGCATGACAGATGAGAGCCAAGGCTTGGAGCACCGCTGATGGAAATTCAGTGTTTAGAGAACACTTTGAAGTTTTTCTGGTTACTAATCAAAAGGCTTGAATTTCTAAAATATTTTTTCAAAAGTACTTCCTTTTGACTTTCGTAATTTTATTTCTTTTTAAAAATTTCACATGCAATTTTGATGTATTAAAGTATAGGTATTATTTTATATCCTGCTTCTCACATATTTCTTTCTTGCGAAAGAGAGGGTCTAATACATCCTAGGCTATGTCAATTTTCCTATGGAGTAAAATATTTTTATTGTATATTGGAAAAGTTTAAAGATTGAGTAAATAACGTATGTAAAGACCTGAAGGAAGATAGACAAATTCAGTTCATTCGAATGGCAGAGGTACAGCTACATTTCATAAGGAAATGGTGATCACATGCCAAAGCAGTGTTCAGCCCGAGTTTGAACAGCCATGTGTATATGCATCTCAAATTGCAGTATAGCTTCAGCCAATTAGGGGGCCTGATTCTGAAAATGAAAAATGGACAGCTCTAGAACTTAAGAACAAGCAAACAAAACCAGAGGAGTCAAACCCCACTTCTTGCAGCAGCGTAGCAAAGCATGATCGCAGCTGAGTCCCACTGCCCGCTTCTCCATGCTGTGGGCCCTCCTACTTCCTAACCCCTTGTTATCTACATGCTTCCAAAGCCCTCACCAGGGCAACGTTTCTTCTTATGAGTGACAGTTAATCTTCCCTCCTCAAAACGAGGGCGCTGGCTTCACTTAAACAGGAACCAACCCTGCAGGTATCTATGCAGGCTCCCGACACCTACCACCTCTCAAATGTGCAGGCACAAGTGGAGGTGTCTGGAGGAAGTTGATGGCCATCAGTTGGAGAACGAACAGGCACACGTGCCAAGCATCTGTTACTAAGATGATCTTTGAAATGATGAACCTGTCATCTCCTAGAAATAATCTTGTATGTGCTACGGTTGTTCCCCCAGCAGTCTGCAAATATCAATTCAGTTCTGTGACCTGAGGTTAGGGCCTTTCATTTTGTAAGGCAGAGAGGAACAGGGCCTCTTTCCTAGTCTCTGATTCGGTTGCCAGGGCATTCTTTTTTCAGATGTATTTTCTTTTAAGCCGGCATACAAAGTAATGGGTTTCGTTATGGCGTTTCTGTGCACGTATCTCATTATGCTTTGCTCGATTTTGCTCTATACCCTCAACTTTTCTGATGGCCCCCAGATCATATTAGAACAGAATAGTTTAGGTACTAAATACTGAAAATTGAGCATTTTCAAAAACACAATCTGTCCTCCACCTGGGCCATCCATCATGCCAGTATAATTGGTGTCACCTGCACGTGTGTGCCGTGCAGTCACGGAAGGGGGCAAACGCCCTTGCGGTAACCATCACCTCGACTCAATCTCTGTCTGCTGGCTGGCCTGCAGTCTCTCAGTATCTCTTCAGGTTTCCCATGCTGCCTTGCAGAGGGGCAATAAGAAATGCTCAGTGTTTTCTCTTTTCAGGTTAATATCACTTATGACCAACTAAAAGGAGGGAAAGACAGTATTAAATTTTGTGCTTATTAGCTAAAATGTAGAACAATAGATGTTTTGATTTAAATGGTCCTCATCAAAATCTTTGTTAAAACCCAATCTTTCCTATAAGAAGAGGTGTGACCCATAGGAGGTAGCAGGTAGCAATGGGGACTGACCCCTCCTGAATAGACTCAATGCACTGATGAAAAGGATTTGGAGGGGAGACTCCCTCTTGCCACTCTTTAGAAATGTGAGGGGGGGGGCACAGCACTTAAGACTCCTTCTTGGAAACTGAGCCCAGTCCTTACAAGACAAGACTCTTGCCAGGTCGTAGACTTCCCTGCTTCCAGAGCTATGATATGCTTTGTTCTTTATAAGTTATTCAGTCTCAGGTACTAAGCAAAAGTGGACTAACAACTAATTTTTAAAAAATTTTATTGAGCTTTTGCACATTTCTTACAGCAGTCCTCAGTCAAATCTAGACCCTCTCCCCCATCCATGTCCTTTCACCACCCCCCACACAGGACCTCATGCATTCTGCCATACGCGTTAAGTCCTAAGCATTTGTACCCAGATGTCCTTTGGTCCACATTCATCCACTAGACTCTAGTCAGCCTATCTAGAGATCGTTGGTACGGCCTACTCTCCCTCACCCAGTTGTGATCACTCTCCATTCATTCTCAGACTAGGGCAGCCCACCACCGAATTTAGAAAAAAAAATATTTTATTATATATTCATAGGTGGGAGCTTATGATAAAGAAAGCAGAGCTGCATAGTAGGAGTGGGTCCCTCTAAATGGGATGCCATTGGAAACGATGCCATTCCCAGCTTCAAGACAAGAATTTTTTTAGATCTTTGCCTTAACCTGAATGACTTGTTTATATTTCCTCTTAGCATTGATCCTCTGAGGATGAAACCCTAATTGTCATTAGGGAATTTGGGTGATGTCAATCTGGCTTCCTCCTGCTGAGTGGGCTTGTCAGGCATGGCAGTTGGGGTACCTCTCCAAGGAGCCTATCTAAGAGACCTCAAAAGTGCACTAGTGGTTCGATTTTATAGTATCTATGTGTCATGAGGAAAGAAAGCCCTTGACTGGAGGTGGGATAGAGATGTAAAGGAGAAGGAGCAAAGGCAAGAGTCGGGAGAAGTGAAATCAGAGCCCTTTGAGAAGAAACGAATCCATCATGCTGGTGCGCATACAAGGGCTTAGCGTCGCATGCCTTGGGCAGAGAGCTAGGAGAACAATCCATCATGCAGGCATGCATACAAGGGCTTATCACTACATGCCTGGGCAGAGAACAGGGAGAAGGGAGAACACAGGGCATTTCAAATGTCCTAATCAACTGGCTCATAAGAGCATCGTGACTGGCCTTTTGGACATCTCCTTGTTTTTCCTTTTCTGACCTCCGGGCCTCAACTTGAGAATGATGAACCCAGGATTTGTTTTCAGGCTTGCAGTTGAAGTGGCTAGAATCACACTGTGAGGTCCTTCCAGGGTGTGTTCTAAAGAGACAGAAAGAGGACCTGGAGAGATGGCTCAGCAGTTAAGAACACTGGTTGTTCTTGCAGAAGACCTGGGTTCGAATCCCAGCACCCAAACGGCAGCTGACAACTGTCTGTAACTCCAGTCCCAGGGGATCCAGCAGCCTCTTCTGACCTCCACGGGCATTGCATGACACGAGTGCACTTACCTGTATGCAGGCAATATACACATATATATAAAATAAGAATAATAAATAATTTTTTTAAGTTTTAAAAAGAGACAGAAAGAGAACTTTAACCATCATTAAATTTTTAGATTCAAGCAATCGAAACAATAGTGGGCCTATCTCTCTATACTGAAAGTTTCATGTAGTCACTGCACTACTGAAACTCAGCCCTATATCTGGGCAACTTTTTCCTTCCCAATAAGAACATCATTAAATGATGAATGGTTATCTGAAAAATGTTATTCTTTTAACTTTTAAAAAAAAACATACAATCATTAAATTTTGGTTATACTTTCCTGTTTGGTGTCTAAGTCCATGCAGGTGGCCAAAATTAACCTAATTTATTTATTGCTCCTATCAAGGCCACTGAAGAGTCTCTAAGCCTTCATGGCTCCCACTTGTTACTGGATTTAGTTTGGTTTCCCGTTACTACAATAATGCACCCTAACAAAAGCTACTTAAGGGACAAAGGGTTTATTTGGCTCACAGCTCCAGGCTGCCGCTCACACTGCCTGGAAATCCAGGTGGCAGAGCTTGAAGAGGCTACTGCTCTTATCGCTGCAGTCAATCGCAGAGAGCAGTGACATCGTGTGCGTGTGTGTGTGTGTGTGTGTGTGTGTGTGTGTGTGTGTGTGTGCCACACCCAGCCCTCCTGTTTGGAGTAAATTGTTGAGTCTGATGATGTCACACTGGATCCAGAACATTTGTCTTCCTTACAACCTGTACAAATTGGCCCAGATGAATTTTATTAACCAGTATTCCTAAAAATACAGATGGGTTTTTTGAGAGCTGCATGGACTCAAAAGGATCTAAATCTTTTTAAAAAAATTTTATTGAACTTTTGTGTATTTCATACAGAACATCTCAATCATTTTTATACCCTTCCCCACTGGCACCCTCCCGTAGCCCCTCACTGGAATTCATACATTCTGTCATTTGTGTTAAGGCCTATCATGTCAAGTTAGTGTTCCCACATGTCCCTCAGTACAAGTTCACCCACTGAGGTCTAGTCAACCTAGACCTCTAGATATAGAGTCCCTCCCTATAAGAAGATCAGCTCTTCCTCACCCAGCAGTAATCAGCTGCCAATAACTCTTCTACTAAGACTGGGGCCTGCTGTCCATTTCCATGGTTCTGTGCTGGGTTTTTGTCTAGTTGAGTTTGCTTGGATCTTGTGCATATTGACACCATTGCTGTAAGTTCATATGAGAAGGGTCCAAGAAACTATAGGACTATTTCCACATGGTCATGCACCTCCTCCCTGGCTCTTATAATCTTTCTTCTCCCTCTTCCACAAAGGCCCCTGATGGACATGTAGGCTCTGTGGGCAAGGACCCAGCATAGACAATGGAATGGATCTGAAGGGTTTTACCTTTTGTCCAACTGCTTAGACAAAGTATTAGGACAGGAAGCATGGTGGGACCCAGGATGTGTCACTCCCTAGAACTGTCTTTGTGGCTGCTTGGCAAGGTTCATGGGCAGAGTAGGTAGTGTGCAGGGCAGGGAGGGGCCAAAGGGTCTTGTCAAGAGCTACTGCCTATGTGATTGCTTGAGCAAGGTCAAGGACCAGGTGGCTGAGCAGGACAGAGCCAAGGGTTGTTACCGACAGTGAATACGTGTATAAGCTGCTTAGGAAAGGTCTAGGACAGGGCCAAGGTGTTTCACGATTGGTTTTAGAATCCTTGGTTTTTCTCAGAAGAAAATAATAACATTTTTAAATAAAAATTTTGCTAAGGAAATACATAAATTTTGTATATTTCTTTTTGTGTGACATCTTTTTGTCACTGAAACCAAATGAAAGCTGTACTTGATCATATGTCTTCTATAGATGCTATCTGGACTATTGTCCAACTCAAGAGCACAGCATAAAGATGTTGGGGAACCCTGCTGCTAGAGTTGTAGTCCTCCATGTCCAGATAGCTC